TGTCAAAAAAGAAGAGAGGAATTTCTAAAAGCCTGGCTTCTTGAGCCATTCTCTAAATCAGAGGAGTGCTTGAAAATCAAAGTTTCTTTTTAAATATTTGAGCTGTACCATTGCTATATTGGATTGCATTTGCTGATTTGGCATCAGCCTCTAAATTTCTGACTGTAGAAATAAATTTATGCCAAAGCTAAATGGGTAGAATTCAAATGAAATTATGTCTATAAGAACAATGAGTGGGTTCAAACCAGTGGTGACATGGTACTCATAACACCGCAGCAACCTCCTGATTACAAACTTTTCTCTCTCTGACCACGCTTTGCGATTTTGGAGGTGCAGCTGATTTCAGTCTTATATCTACGTCCATTGATTTAAATGAAATATTAGAAGAAAGCTGTTTTCAGAGACTGGGCTGACAAAAAGGACTCTTACAGATGGAGCAGACTGGACAAGATTGCGAGCAAAGGCAAAGCTGTCTGAGCAAACTCAGTCCCATGCTGTGGGGAGGTTTCTTTTAGTCAGGAGAGAGAAGGAAAAAAAAAATCATTCTGAGAAGTTATATTTGCGGCTCTTTCGCCTTGTACTGGCAGCTAATACTTTTCAAGCTGACATTGTAAGTGGTACGAATTTTGTGTGATGGCTTTATGCCATTTTTTGTTCTCTTTTGACAGGGCAAATCAAACTGCTCTTATTCAAAGCTGGGAGAATTATACAATAACCCTTGCAGGTCAGATGTGCAATATGGAAGACATTTTCATTTTGTAGTTCTTTTGAGTCAAAAGCAAACTACTCAAATGTGTCTTTAAAAACTTTTAGTTTGTGAAACTTCTGCTTCAAAGCAAACTATAGCTTAATTCAATCTGCAAATTATTGTTTTTGTGTAAGCATTTCTCTGTGTTGTCTGTTTTGCCAAAATCCAGCACTTACAGTAACATTAGTGTTGTAGCTCCTTTGCTATTCACTGACTTGTTCTTAGAGTTAAAATCCTCTGCTCATTTTTCTCATTCGTTTTGCTACCCCTTTCTTCTCTTCAGCTACTGTTGAGGCTATTGAGGCTGATGAAGGTAAATTGGCCAGTCCCCTTTCTGTTGGTGCCACAACAGATAAGGGCTCTGCTGGGTGTATTCATTTTGCTGTAGCTTGTACAGATTGTGTGGGTGTTGGGCTAACAATTGTGGCTCGGTATTAACCAAAATGTAATTGCTTTAAAGGGGAAAATGCTTTTGGTTGTTTTTTTGTTTGGTTGGTTGGTTTTGGTTTTTGTTCTTTTTTTTTCTGTTGCTGCTGTTGTGGTTTTTTTCGTTCTGAAAGTTACAATCACGTTGGAATTGCTGTATGTTGAACTAAGCACTGAGTAACGCCACAGGAGGAGATCAGGAGACTTGGATTTCACGGGACATAACTCAGCAGCAGCTCGTAAATGCTCTGTGACACATACATAGCGCAAAAGCTGTGCGCTGATGGCTGGGTCTTGTCTCCGCCTCAAACCATCCTCGGCAATCTCTGGTTGAGGAAAACACACAGCTTTTAGAAATATTCTCTCTTTTTGTTGTTTTGTTTTTTGTTTTGTTTTGTTTTTTCCTCTTCCCGTTTTTTCTTTTTTTGCTTCAGTTTTCTTTTAGGTCACTAGTAAAAAATTTTTATTAGTCTTTTGTTACAGTTCAGCACGTTTCTGTTTCTCTTTAAAAGTAAACCAACATGAGACATTTGTCTGCAAGATGTCTTGTTTCCTCTGGTAGTGGCAGTTTACACACTGGATATTTACATTAGAGCAACCATTAACACCAGCACCATTTTGGCTACAAATATAAAGTGACTGGCTGCCTCAGAAGATTTCTGAATGTTTAGTATCGAAAACTATGGTGCTTTATTGACAGACCTCTAATTTAACCCTTACGCAATTTGTAACGCTATGATTCAAACCTAAGTAATCACGTATTGCAATGTAGATGCGCAATATTCAGCATTATAAAGTTTTGGAAGAAGAATTTTCAGAATTCCCCTTTAAAACAAAATTCTTCAGTTGTATTTTGTTCTTGCCCCTCAAATTTTCTGCGGGTATTTTTTTAGTTAATTTAAAAAAATTAAAAAATCCAATGATTGCTGTCCGTTGGTAAGATGTGCCCTTTTGGCCAGCTGAATTTGTTTTTGATTTTTGTAAAGCAGTGAATAAAATTACAGAACAAATAAGTAAGAGAAAATACAACTGCTTTCTAAATAGCAGTGAGTAAGCTGCTATTTATGTTGGAATTATCTATTCCTATCGGCAATCTCTAATCTGCAGTGTGCATTCTCGTTGACAGTTTGGCTGTTTTCTGTGATTTTCTGTGACTATGTGTTGTGTTTTTAGTATACTCTCAATGTAAACTGCTGATACTCGTTGTCTGACCAGCAACTACAGCAGAGCACCTTCCTCAGTATTACAGACGATAACGTGTCTGCTTGAGATACGATCGATTGAACGTGCCCCCATTCCAGCAATACGCACCCTTCAAGTTAATTCTTGATTTGCCATCCTCGCTAGTTAGACACCGTAACCGTTAACGACTAGCCTACGTAGACGAAGCGAACGATGGAGAAAATGTTTCGTCCTTTCCCAGTTGTCCCTCTGCAGTTTGGTTCAGGGCCTGAGGACGCCACTGGGCTGTGCTACTGGCAAGCTCCAGGACGCAGCGAGTGTTTCAGCTTCAACACGGCTGTCCATTAAACTGTTGCTTTAACAGATTGGCCTGGGTGCTTGTTAGGCATCTTCATTTTTGTGGTAGAAGATAAAGGAAAAACAAAACAAAAAAAAACCCAAAAAAGGACAAAACCAAACCTTGAAAAACCTCACTGTAGGGCCTGTTCTGTTTTCACTGCTCCATCCCTGCTCACTTGACTAATCACCATTCTGTCGTTGTTTTTCTGAGTTGAAGTATAATACATGTTAAAAGCCATGCACTTCACAAAGTTCCAATATAATGTTTGTGAAACTGGCTAAGGAACTAAATCCTGAGGCAAACAGGATCATTTTCACAGGAATGGTTGGCAAAAATATCAGCATGAAAACGCTTTTCTCGCTCCCCCCAAAATGCAAGGAGTGGTAGATTGGTACCAGGGATGTTCTGGGGGCTTGGGTTGGTTGGTTTTCGTGGGGTTTTTTTAACAGAAGTTACCAGCTTGTCCAGAATTGGGACTGCATATTGGAAGGAGAGCAGGAGTACTTTGGGTTAAAGAGAAGATGAAGGGAGGAAAGGAATATTGAATTTGATCTTTGAAACTCCCCTACCATTTTCTCCCCAGGGAGTTTGCAGTTTCCTGGTACTAACACACCATTTCTGCTCTATGGCATGTTAAGGTAGAGGCATAGCAAAAGTGCCAGTTCTGGAAGTGCAGTGCATTGATTGGGTGCAGATAAGAGAAAAACACACAAAAGGCTATGACAAATTATCTACGGAGCTGTGACCTGCTGTTTGCCTACGGTGCTTTTTTCTCTTTTGCTTTAAATCTAAAGATCTTCCACTCTTCAATTGAAGAGAAAGGAAAAAAAAAAAAAGTAAAAATCACAGTCTACAAATACATTCCCCAGCCTGTGGCTGCCTTCTGAGGTCAGCGTGGCCTCATCAACGTTGCTGCTGAAGGGCAGATCAAAAGTCCTCAGGTTCAGTTGGAACTTTGGTCCTTTGTCAGTGCGTTTCCAAAGTTAAATTATACGGATGTGCCAAAATGACGATATTCCTGGTCCGTGTTGCACGGTGTTGCCGCTGTATGACTCAAGCTGCTTTCTAGAAGTCCAGGGATGTGTTGGGGAGGGTAACTGCCCCAAGCGATCAACCAGCAGCTCGCCTGTGTTGAGAACATAAGGCAACCTGTTGTAGGGTCGCCCAAGATCTCCCATAGCTTTAATGTATATCCTGCAAACTGGCCTCACCATGTCATCACCGTCTGTAACTGGCCAACGCTTCTTCCCCTGGTCTTTGAAAGTCAGACGGGAGTCTGTAAGTTGATGACGACAAATGCTAACTCCCTGGCTGACGGCTGTGCCCTAAGCATGGTTCCTAAATGCAAACTGTAGTTTCGTGTCAGCTTTTGAGCGTTTTAAGCTGAACCCCAGTGGACAACAAAATATTGGAAGTTGATCTCGTTGAAAAAAATAGTTGTGTTGCAAGAGAGACGGTGGTGGTTAACCCCCAGCTCTTTCTGAGTACGGTAAGGAGTCGGTCGTGTTGTCAGATCTTCTCATTGCCGCCTTCACAAAGAAGGACTTTCGCACTCATTGCTAAGTTGGGGGAAGAGCTGCCGAGAGTTTTACCTTGCTAATTTTACTTTTTAACAATCCTTTATTTAGCTATCAAAGGATTTTCACCCCAGCATAAGATCACTAGCTTCGAAGAGGCCAAAGGCTTAGATCGAATTAATGAGCGAATGCCTCCGCGCAGAGACGTGCCATCCGATGCCAACCTTAACTCCATCAACAAGGCAATCTCCACAGAGACTAATGGCACAGACAGCAACGGCAGTAATAGCAGCAATATTCAGTGACCGCTGCCCGGGAGGGGGGTTGAGCTGCAGGGCGCGATGGGGTTTCTGCACATCGGCAGTGGGATGTTCTTGCCTCTGATAATAGCTTACTTGCTCTGGGGGCCAGGTGTTGGATTCAGTTTACAAAAAAATCATCTACGAAGAGATCGTCAACTTTAATTTGGTGGGAGGGAGGGTGGGGGAGAGACACCTCCTTTGGATATGCCTTTAAAATGCTTGTAGAAAAAACGAAAGCTCATGCTGGTATATATTGCAAAGTTAGGGGAATGAACATGTTTTCCTACTGCATTGGGAACGTCTAGATATGTTACTGAAAGGCCTTTTATTATGTTACTGGACATGAAAACTTTGTTTAATTTCTTACTAACTATTGTACGTTTACAGTTGCAGCACTAAACATGGAGAACATCGAAACATTTTTAACAAAATGTACAAACTAAATAAGGACTATTTATTGATAATGTTTTGCTACTCTTGTCAGACAATGGCTATGAAATAAATTAGGCGGTCTTTAAAAATATAGAGAAAAAAAAGAAAAAAAAGAATGTTGGAAATTTGTTTAAAATGCCAAAAAAAAAAAAAAAGAGAAAGAGAGAGAGAGTGAGAGAGCGAGCGAGAGCGACAGTTTAATTTTGTACAGATTATGCTTACCTCAGGTTTCTTTAGTGTGCTTCAATGCCCTTCTTTAAATATAACACTTATCTTACTAATTTGGCAGCAATTATCCTTTTCTTTGTTAAAAAAAAAACTGGAATAATGATAACATTTATCTTTTTTTGCTGTTTATATTTAGGGGGTTTTGGTTTGGGGGGTTTTCTGGGTTTTTTTGGTAAATCAAGTCTTGGTTGTGGCTTGCTGAATTTAAATATTTATGAGTGGTGCATTTTTAAGTATAGTGAACAAGACACCATATTAAGTGCAGTGAAAAGCATCTATATTCTGTAAAAATCTGCCTATGCATGTTTTTTAAGAAAAAATGGCTGTATAGGCCTGTATGGGACTGTAATGCGCTTAGTGGTCTGACTTATACTGGAAATGTATGTATACTGGCGTACTTTATATTCTCTAAAAAAAAAAATGCTTAATGCCTTTGAAATTTTGTAATCAAAAAAAAGCTTTGAAAAATCTAAGGGGAGAGTATTCTTAAAGTTTTTAACATAAGCTTGTCAGTGCACATATAGATGGGTAGCATGTTTAGCAAACCTTGTGAAATTTAAATAAGTTTGTAGTTACATGTGAAATTCTAAATGCATGATAACTGTTAATGTCATAATGGTTTAGTCATTTTGTTCTGTTCTGTCATGTGCCACAAAATGTGTAATTTTTTCACTTTTTTCCCTTTGTATATCAGTTACGGGTTTCAACTGGTTCATTCTAAAAAAGAAAAAGAAACAAAACAGTCCATTGATATTTTTTAACAATTGTATAAGTGCCCAAGTAATTCACTACAGCCTACAGCCTTGCCTTTGTAATTTGACTTCGAAATGTTGGCAATCAAAGCATGCACTTGTAACAATGAAAGAAGCATTTTATATTACTACTCAATAAAAATGTGCATGAACTTAAGCACTCTTCCCTTTCTTGCTGGCTCAGTCGCAGAAGCGCACGCAGGCACGCGCGCGTGTATGCTTGTTGCTCTCTTGCTTTGGACAGGAGAAGACCGTCGGTGTAAGAGAAGAATGATTCCTTTCACGATTCAAGGTCAGTTCTTTACTAAGAAAAAAATTCATTTATTAGCCAACTGTTTTAGGCTACTGAACATCTGCAAACGTCCCCCAAGTTCTGGTTAGAAAGCTGGGTTTTCATTAAAGTGAGTAGGAGGTATCCCACAAGTAGAGTGCGGAAGAACACATGTGCCCTCTGTGTGCTTTGCCCCCCACCATCTTGAGTGTTTGAAACGATCGATCAGTATCGTTTAAAATCTTCCTTTAAGGAAAAAAAAAAAAAAATCATCAATTTCAGATTTCAAATGCTCTCTCTTTTAGTCAGAGGTGAACTATGAAAGCTCTGCCATGTTCTCGTTTTCTCCCTAACTGTGCTCAGCATCTTTCCGCAGTCCGTCATCCTGCGAAGAACTGATGGACCATGCCAAATGGTGCAGAGTTGTGGGATTGCTTTAGTCCTCCTTTCAAGTAGCGTTATTAAATGTTGGCTCGGTCCCTACTTTATGTGGTTTTTTCCCCACTTTAGCTCTTGTTAATTTTGGCAAAATATGACAGGTGGAAAAAAAGTAAAGAGAATTCATAATATACAGGACTATGAAGCTGGACCGATTTTAGATTTAAATTTTTATTTCAGATTGTGTAGAAATAGCAATAGTAATGGTGAAAGTTTGAGTGACCGTTTTACTTGCCAGTTTGGTCCTGCAAAGGCACTAGCTGAACGACTGTCGGTTACCTCAGGTAAGCTTTTCTGTAGAGACATCAGCAGGCACTTAGTGCAACATGGAGCAATGCGGTGCTCCAACAAATTGGAGCAATACTGTGGGGCGGTGCAACGTGTGCTGTCTGGTTTCATTTAAGTTGGGCCTTGGCGGTTGCCCAAACCAATTTAACAGCAAGAAAGGGTTGAGTTTTCCCCCTCCTGCTCTCAGCAGTGACAGTGTGGTATAGACCTCTCAATTGGTAGACTTAACCCGAAAGATCCGTGCTACAAATCAGTCGTGGGTTTGCAAATGCCTGCTGTAATTGTGAAAGAGCTTATGGGTAGGCGAGGTAGCCCAGGCTGAGTAATCCGTTAGGAAATGTACCAAGTCTGGTGAGTAAGGAGATGATTTTTGAACTTTTTATATCTTAGAAGAATGAAAAATGTCCTGAGCATGCAAAATAGCAGTGCCCTGTGTGTCCAGGTAAATGGCCTGGCTCTTTTCTGCAGTGATCACCGCCGTCCTACTGTGGGGCAGGTTCTGGACTGACTCTGAGGGATAGACTCGGCTATACTCAAATGTTCCTAAAAGGACACAAAAAAAAAATTTTCCAAAGGTTCTCTCTTTCCAGGGCATCCCATGTCTTCCAGCTGTCCTTCCTTTTTCCTGTTGCAGAAGGAGCCATAGATGAATTTGAAGAAAAACCCTGGTGCCACTGAAGGCTGAGTTGTGGATTTCATGGCCTCACTCAGTGATGTGCCATGCACTGGAGTGTTTCTCCCAGTACAGGTTTCCTCCTCCTTGCCAAATATGCAACTTTTAATGCCAAAAATATCATTGGTGCCTACTTCATATCAGGATTTACTCTATTATCTTAACCACTTTATTCCCACTGTGTTGTGGGAGATAGCATATTGGATACATGTATTATATTTTCTGCACTGTCATAATTTTCCTTCTCAACAGCTATTAAACATGAAGTGTATTAGCTCTTAGTATACATTTTCTGAAGAACACAACATTTATATTTTGTCTAGGGTTCCCCCCAAAAATTGCAGTAGGTTTAACCCTGCTTAAGCTTGCACCAGAATTGCCAACTGTCAGGCACAGATATAAATTATTTCGGCATTTTCCTTGACATTTTCCTCTTTTATTGCCAGAGGAGGATCGTCTGGAGCCTCTAGAGGAGTTTGGGTATAATTTGGCTTTCTCCTGAGAACCTGGCTGGCAAAACTGAGGTCAGACATCAGGGCTAAAAACAGGCACTGAAAGATGCTACTTGTTAGTACAGACGTGCTCTCTGTCCTCTCTCACTTTGGCTTTGGGTTTTAGTGAAACAGTGGAGTTCGGAGTGTAAAAAATTAAAAGTGTAGGGACACTTTCTAGGTTCAAGCTGAATTTACAATTTTAGTCCTTAGAAATCAGTTTCCCTTCTTTTTTTCAAGGTACTGTTGCTCAGATTAGTCAGATCCATGAATCTTCCCACTTCTTTCACAAAGAGAGGGATGTGAGAATCAGCTATTTCAAATGTTCAAAAACCACAAGCACCAAAGCAACCATTTGGAAAATAGTTTGCAGATCGCCTTCTTCGTTGCTTTGGGGAGGATGTTTGATTCTGCTAAAAATGGCTGGCTTTGGCATGCAAAAGGATGAACTTTGTGGTTCTTCAATAATTTAGGAAAAAATATGTGTTCCTATGTGGATGTTCATATGTATGAAAACTCAGAGGACTTGCAGGTAGAGGATATTTCTTTTTTGTCTTGCTGAGCTGACTTTGCAGTATCAAGTCTGGTAAGCATTATAAAATGCATGTTTAATGAGGCTTTGGTTATTTTTTTATTATTATTATTTTTTTAAATAACTTGAGGGCAGTTTCAGTTTTATATGCGACACCACATTTCATCAAGCTGATGGATAGCTCTGTGCTCTGGGCAGAATTCCGCTGCGGCACACGATTGCAAAGGGAAGAGCTGCCTTGGCTCTTTCATCCCTGCCAAAAGCTTGTTTTAGGTAAAGTAACTTGGCAAAGAGTGTGCTAAAGGACCGGTTTTGCCACCGATGGGAAGTCTGGTGGCAGACATGACAGCGTCCTCTCCTTTGTGGAGTCCACTAGTGGCCACCATCAGTTGCTCTGGGGCTTGCCGAGGCCCCCTCTCCCTTTGGGCAGACCCTTGCGTGGCCATTCGCTGGAGGTTTGGGCCCGGGCACCCAGTAAGGCGATTCTCAGGGCAGCAATACTCGAGCAAGAGATGGTTGGTTCATACTTTAGCTATTACATCCCTGAGGCTGTTGATGCAGACAACCGTGGTGCGATCGAGCAAGCCCATTTCTCTCGACATCTGGGTACTTAATAATTTCTTGGGCTAATTTCACAGCATTTTAGGCCAGAGGAGCCTGTTAAGTTACAGAATCGAGGCCAGCACAGGTACCGCTGGGATCGGCTCCTCCAAACCAACTGCCCCTGCCGGGTCAGCTGGAGCAGGTTGCTTGGGACTGTGTCCAGTCAGGTTTTGAGCATCTGCAAGGATGGATACTCCACAACCTCTGGGGGCAACCCGTGCAAGTGCTTGACAGCTCTTACAGTAAAAAAGACTTTTCTTACATTTAAAAATTTCCTGCATTTCAGTTTGTGCCCACTGCCTCTGGTCCTGTCACCGGGCCTCGCTGAGAAGAGCCTGGCTTTATTGTTTTTACTCCTCCCATCAAGTATTTATACATCTTTTCTCCAGGCTGAGCAGTCCCAGCTCTCTTCATCTCTCCTCATAGGTCAGATGTTCCAGTCCCTCAGTCACCTTCGTGGTCCTTTGCTGAACTCACTCCAGTAAGTCCACGTCTGTCTGCTGCTGGGGAGCCTGGACCTGGACATGGGGGGAGAAGTTAAATTACCTGCCCTGGTTTCCTGTTTATGCCATTAAATTTCTACAACTTATATTGATGCCAATAATTTAAGACAAGTGAAGACATTTCTGGCCTTGCAAGTCGAAGAGATGAGAGCCATACCTCGGAAAACAGAAGAAGCAGAGGTAGGTTGCAGTTGCAGAGCTGAGATGTACTAAGATACAGGTCCAAGAAGGTAAGAGAAAATGAATGCCTCACCAGTCTGAGAGGACAGTGGAAGACTATAAATAATATTTATTGCCAAATTCAGTAATAAATTTTATCAGCAAATTATCCAGGTAGGTATCAATTGCAAGAAGGAGGACCTGTCTGTCCTGTACTGTGTCCCACCTACTGCTGATCCTTGGTGCATCGGAAGAAGGCGAAGAAGTCATCAAAAAATTCTTGTACTGAGGGAAATAGTCCCTGGATTCAGCAGACAAGTGGCTGAAGCCCAGAAGCATGTGATTTGTATAGAGTCATTACTGTAGCGCAGATCTGCATGTGTTCTCGGGACATCACGTAAATGAGAGATCTTGTGGCTCCCTGGGGAGGGAGAAGTAACCTTCTGAGGAGGTTGCCTGAGGAGAACTAATTTGTTTATCTGTCACTCGGTGGTTTATTGTTTTCAGTAGGTATTTAATAAGCTTTGCTCTTGGACTGCATTTTTCGAAAACTAGCAGAAGGTGCTCTCTGAAGGGAATACGAGGCTGACGCTGCAGCTGAGCTTAAACAAGGCTGCAGAGCTGATGCTTAGGCAAAAGGCTGAGGAAGCCCTGCAGCCATGGACCGGGGCGCCAGAGAAAGGAAAGGAATGAGGAGTGGGGCTGGCAGGAGAGCTTGAGGTATTTATTTCATTCCTTTCTCAAGGTAGATGGGAGAATAGGCCATGCTGGCAGTGCTGGAGGAGACCTGAGCATTTATGCTGCGAGACTGAGATGACGAGATACAGAAGCTGTACGACGTACCTTGGCTCTGGGTAGGCAATGATACAAACTACTGAGACTGATAAAATTCGCCTTAGACTAGATGTGCACTTAAAGATGATGGTAGAGTTCAGGCCGTGACCTGAAGGCGGCCATGCATAGAAGGAGAGTAGGGAACGGCATGGGAAATAAAGTATTGGAGGGCAGACCCGTGATAAGGAGCGGGCTGAGGCTCGCAGCCCTGGCAGAGGAAGAAGCACAGATTGCAGGATTGAGTGCTGTATTGCATGCTGAAGAGTTGAATCAGTTCGCCTTAAACGCAAGGATGCCTGTAACTAAGGGGTTGGGACTTGATGCGAGGGAGTTGCCATGAAGTCAGCTGGGATGACTAGCCAAAG